CATACAGTGAGCAAACATTTGATACCCACACAAAAAGTTGGCATATTTTTAAATTGTTACCATTAAATAAAGATGTGCCACGAGCTGGGACATTCGATTACTCTGCATCCAAATCTGAAAACTAGAAAACTAAAGTACTAAACATGGAAATCATGTTATATATGAATTCTACAAACAGACTGACAAACGTATCAAATTCATAAAATGATAGACAATCACATATGAATGATCCACTGTCACTCCTCAGCAGGCAAACTGTGTGAAACAGCCAAAAGTCATCGTGTTGGCAGTGATTATCAAGCACAGCCTCTAAAAATGGTGTAGAGTAAGAGTTGGCATCTTAATGGACTTCAAGTGAACTCATAGCAGGGGTGGTTATGAGCATCTTACGCATCGTGAGCGCGTGTGAACAGCAAAGGGGCACCAAAGAGGTAGAAACTGTGTCCTTGAATGTATCTTTGGCCAAAAACAAAATAACCCCCCTTTGCTTTTACTGCCTTTCCTCCAGTATATGTATGCGTCTTTAGCTCCTACTGAATTCCTGTCAGTGACAACTAAGACATCTCATTAAAAGTCACACTTTATGTGGAGTACATTCCAACACAACTTCAGTGATAATACACATACTGTGCATATTAAAACGATAGCTATCATCCAGATATACCCACAGTTAAAGGCCTACTAGAATGCTGTGTTTAAGTGGCCTTCACTACAAAAAATATACTGTGGTTTGACTGCATTCCATCTTATGTAAAAAAAAATAATGTGGTGAACACAGGTGAAGAGATCATAAACCCTGTCCCCTGGTCCTGAAGGTCTTTTAGCCACAACCACAGTTCACTCTGAAGCTGTTCACTCATTGGACACTGGCTGAGGGGACTGTTCCTGTGCTGCTGCTGCTGGCTGGTTGGTTTCTTCTCTCGCCATCTTCACGGAGCCCTTGCTGATGACCAGGAGGTCTCGCAGCTCCTTGTTCTCAATCTGATAAATAAAAAAAGACAATAACCACATACGGAAATATTAGAAAAAGATTTGAGAGTTAAACAGTTATTACTGTTCAATAGTCCCTGTAATTGCATTTTTTCAAATGTTTGATTGTATTGGATTGTAGTAGATATCTCAGAGATGACTAGGTATCCCTTAATCTCTCATAACCAGACCTTTTTTCTAGCACTTTTTTTTTTTTAGAACTGTGCCAGCACTGGAGAAAGGTGAGGCTGAACCCACTATCGTTCAGGTAAGGGGGAAAAACGCTCTGGCTTGTTTGTATTTCTTTAAACTAATCACAATCCAGGATGCAGCGACGGTGCACAAAAACAGTGTTGTGTGGAAACTTGCCATTTGCACGTGGGGAGGTGAGCATTGGTATTAAAATAGCTGAATCCCCACAAATGAAAAGGTAACAGCTAACTTGTTTCGACCAGGTTAGGGTAACTTGCTATTTTCAGCATGTTCATTACTAGCTCAGCACAAGTTGTTGTTGTTGTTTCATGTAGTGATGCTGCACTTGCGAAACGGTAACAGACAGATAGCAGAAGGAGATCAGAAAAGCGACTGCAATAGTCGGCCAATGGCAGGATAATCCTACTAGCCGACTTCCTGTGTGTCACACTAGATTCCAATAGAAGTAAATAGAAAAATATATTGCTGTTATTGTTTAGGCAGAAGTGGGACCAAGTCATTGTTTTGCAAGTCACAAGTAAGTCTCAAGTATTTGCTCTCACGTCCCAAATCTTTAACTTTGAGTTTTAAGTCCTAAACAAATCATAAAGTGCTTTTCACCACCAAATATAACAGCAACACAACAACAGAATGAACAAAACTAAATTATCTTTGGCATACATTTTTTCCAACTGGCGCTCAGTAACAAACTGTTAGCTCTGAATGGTTTTCTACTGAAACTTGATTGGCTGCTGTGGGATTGGTTCAAACAAAGTGCATCTGGGAAATTAAGTGTCAAGTTGCTGGGAATGACTACATTAACATTAGTTGTTTTAGGAAATGAAGGGGGAAGGTACAAAGTATGTTCTAGTCAAAAGGTTCAAGTCCAAGTGAAGTCGGGTAGCATTAGTGTTAAAGTTGACATCAAGATGCAAGTCTTCTTGATTATTTTCAAATCAAGTCTAAAGAAATTTGTCTGACTCGAGTACGAGTCATGTGACTCAAGTCCAGACCTCTGTGTTTGGAGGAACCAACTCTTTAATACAATTGACAGAAATGTGACAACTTGATTCTATATATAAAACACAGAATATGAAATTAGGACAAAAAATGAAAAATAGGCACAGTAATGTAAACTGCATTGTATGTACACGGTATTCAACTACAGTATATTTGTGTAGGTGATACATGCAAAAACATCAGTTTGTGTGCATGTTCAATGTATCTCTTCACCTTATCTAGGAAAGATACCACATAGAGATACAGAGGCAGTATCAGTGTGCTATTTTCATCTACAGATGCTCTTTATTCTACTGAAGCGCTGTGCTCACCTCTAGTTGAGCGAGCCTCTCTCGAATAGAGCAGTAGTGCTGATCATCCACCTGCACTGCTCTCCTCATGACCTGTCCCATCTCACATATCCTCTCCACCTGGCTCTGCACTTCCTGGAAAAAGAGTCAGAAAATCATTACAACTGTGCAACCATTGATTTGAAATCCTAACCTAACGAATGGCAGAGAAATTGAAAACGTGCATACCTTTGCGTGGTCCTCGTGGAGGCTGAGCACAGGTTTGGTGTCCAGCTCCTTCTTGGCCATCATCAGCTGGAGCATCTGCTTGCGGTATCGACCCATGATCAACTCTAGCGCGTACTGGTGTTCTTCAAGAGACAACCATAGTTCTGCAGAGAGAGTCATGAGAGGGTTAGCAGACGATATAAAACACCTGACATACAAACAACAGAAGAGAGTGGCTTCTTTTAACCTTTATTCTCCTGCTGTAGTTCCTTGATTTGAGTGTTTTCCTGAGTCAGAAGGACATGGGGCTTGTATTTGGTCAGCTCCTGAATCTCTGAACTGTCTTCTATGTGCTGGGAGGAGAGACAGAGAGAAGATGAAGCCTCTATCAATGACTGCAATGCCAAACTCCATTCAACAATAAACTAATTTAACATCGTTGTACACATCTACAAATCATCTGAGCGAATCGTTTTTTAAAAAAAAAGTGTAAGGATCTTTAGTTTAACTGGGAAGAGAAGTGACCAGACAAGTTGTTGTTCCCCTGTGTTCTGATACGATTGCGGGAACACTGGAAGAAACATTGGGGGTTTATGGGTTACATCTATTCTGATTTGGTGGGTGAGTTAGAGCTCAACTAAAATCCTGTTGTGCCAGGCCTGTGTGTGTACACGGAGCAGTGCAGCTCTACATAGACAACAGTTACGTACTTGAATGAACTCTCTTTATGAGCGCGTTGAGATGCTCGTCCTTACCTTGTCTGGGAGGGCATTCCCCACCTCTCTCATGCTGTGCACTCTCTGGCTGAGGGCCCCGGACTGCTCTATCAGTCCCTCGGCGGCAGTGTCGTGCTCTTTCAGTCTCTCCAGAAGGGTCCGGGCATCGCCCAACACTTTTTCCAAAGTGCAGGCCATTTACCGGGAACGGACAACTCCTGCGTGTAACGTAAACAAGCTCCTCCACACGACAGAGCTAACAGCTAACCCTAGGTGGAAATAGCCTCCGTTGGCTGTGTAGCGGTAGTTAGCCGAGGCAGCTGCAATGCCTTTATAGCAACGTGTGCAAACTATTGCAGACCTTTGGAAATATGTGTCGGGAAGCAGAATAAGTACAGTACATACAAATAAAATGTCACTCAGTGTCTGTTGTCAAGTCTGTCGTTTCCGTCTGAGACTAACCGATAACGTCACTTCCGCATCTTCTTCTTCTTCTTCTTCTTTTATCAGTCGCAAACCAAGTAAGAGTTAAATATCGCCACCCATAGACATTTGTTTATGTCGCCACCTACCGGAGAGTTTTGATTTGATGGAAGTTTGACAGTAGCAACTGTGAGACTGATTTAATAGCTGTACCGAATCAAAGGCTATGATTCTAAAAACAAAGCAAAACAAAACAGATGTACAGGATGGACACTGTGGTTTGTTAGGAGTCCAACCTGGGGAGCAATAAAAGGAAAGGAAATGAAAGGGTGAGCACTTTATATATTCTAATTGAGACCAATTCACTTTTCTTTAAAACCTTTTTTTCCACCAGGAAAGAGCTAATCATGGTTTTTGACTATTGCATCACCAACACGTCTTCTATACCACACAGAACAGAACAGAGGGTGTTTTTAAAAAAACAACAACTTTACAAGTTTTTAATGTTGTTCGGAGATTCAAATCAGTTCCGTTATTTCAGACATAGACGTGAAGATTCAACATTTTAAATAAGAGTTGTATTTTTTCTTGTTTCACCCAGCCTACAATATATGGTCATGTTGATGATTTACCTCCCAACTCACAGCAGCACACACAAGAATATGGTAAATGAACGCATATAGACTGTATTGTTTATTTGTATAGTCTCTCTATGGTTGGAACTCTTTGGGTAACTTTGGGATTTCAAAGAAAATAAATATTTTGAAAGTTTAACTCATTTTATGATAAATTGATGCACCGGTTTGAGCAAATTTTAGTGCGATTGTTATCAACATTTCAAGTCTCCACACGTACAATGAATAATATGTGAGTGAGGAGTGAAGCATTGCGGCCTTAAATGACATTTCCCCCACAGCCAGTTTCATTCTTGAATACATCCCCAAGTTGCAACGTGTGGCCTCAGAAACTCTACTGCAAGAGGAGAACAGCCACCGTCAACCGGTTGAACACGGCACACGTTTTGAGTTCAGATGTCTTGAACTAGCGAATGACATACTCATTACTATACTCCCAGTAACACGGCCTCCGAGCCCAGGCAGCAAGTTATAGAAAATATCAGATGTATCCCTCTACTGTATGCCCAGTCTCCCATGAATCCCTGCGAGACCACAATGGGCGCTACTCAACAGCAGCTGCCCAGCAATGGCCCCTCTTTCCGTTTAGGCTCTTTGGTTGTCTTAACGCTGTCAAATATCGCGGTAGCCGCCTCCCTAATCACTACGTAATGTGCCGTGCTGCTTCAAGCGGCGCTGGTGACAGTGCTGAAAGCTGTTGGGGTGAGTTTTTTATTAATTTTACGGTTTAATATCACAATTTAAGCATTTGTTTGAAATGCGCCAGTAAGGCATTCTCTGTTACTTATCCAACGAGTCTTTACAATTGACCAGGCTCCGCTGTGCTTAGTCATACGCAGAGCTCGGGCCTGGGTGGGGGCAGCCGTGTTTTTCCTCACCATAAATCACCACACACAAGGACCGAGCAGCTCCGCGGCGTGCTAGCTAACTGTAGCCGCTATTAGCCGCTTAGCATATTGAACGGCCTATCTGCATTGTTAACGCCTCAATTGAACAGGCATGGGTTTATAAAACGTGCCCCAGTGTACATAAGAGACCGCACTCGTGTGACATTGCAGTGTGAAACATTAGTGACCGACGTGTTAGGGTTGAGCACGAGCTTCCGATCGCTTGTCGTAGCTTCTTTGTTGTCCCGTCCTCGTGCCGTTAGCTCAGATAACGTTATCTTTCTGTTGTCTGTGTGATGAGAATAAACTCCGGGACTGCTGATTTATTGTGATTAAATATCTGTAAGTGTACACATCCAGTTTAATAACTGACGGTAGAGGTCGTCTCAACGTCAGCAGCCACCGTCCCAAACTCTGCTTTTGTCTGTTCAGTTAAATTTCTGCCAATGTAACATTTTATCTGATGCCATTTAGTTCTACAAAGTCATTGTTTTTATTATTAAAATAAAGTAATTACTCGGTCACCACAGGAGTGCGAATAGTCCATGGACCCTCGGTATTGTAACAATCCTCGAATAACTGTCCACCAAGTGTGTAACTCCATTTTAGAAATGCCACGAAACGTTTAAGAAAGTGTTTTTTTGGTGTGCTTGTGTCGGTGGACAAGAAGGACACGGTTCAGCTCTTACTCTCCGCCAACTTTTTGAGCAGAGACTGCAAGCCACGTACCTGCGATTACTACCAAATAACTAAAAAAAATGTCTGGTGTGCTAACTGTTTGAGCTAACTTGTGTCGTACTGACACTGTCGCAGTGAATTAATTTCCATTTTAAGAGTCGGAAACGCCCGGGGGTACTGGCTGTTTACGACTTTAGCATTAGCGACATGCTAATCCGTCTGGTTCTGTTGGTCCACACAAGGTCATTAAGATGATGGGATATATACTCAACTGTTAATGTGTGCGTAGTTTGGTGTAATGGGCAGTTAAAAAAGACGAAAAGCAACCCGTCCTCGATTGTCTACACTCATTTTAGAGTTTTACATGTGTTGGAAATTAGCTGGCTAGCCTAGATGTGACGTTTTTGCATGCCGCAACGTGTTGGATCAGGCCATGTTAGCAGTTCCAGCTGAGGACGGCGGATTGCTAGGAAGTCACATGGTTGGTCCTGCCAGGGTGGCGCTTGTTCGGGCCCAGATCAGGGTGGCACCGCCGTGTTAAAGCTTGCGAGACTTTATCGATTAGCCGTTCTGTCGTATTTAGGACAGTGTGTATGGTTCTTAGTCTTTCTTGTTTAATGATTACCGAGATAAACTGTAGACTACTCATGAGAAAGTGCTGAAACATCCAATCGGTGCTGGTGCTTCAGTGGGTGGACTGTTTTCTCTTTCTGCGTCACCAAAACTGAGGGGGGGAGGGCAGAAAAGCCCATCTCCTCCGAGGTTGTTTTCACTGGAGTCGTCTGCTGTCGTTGCGTATAACCTTTAACCCACTTAACCAACCCATCCTGTGATAAATTACTTAATTTCTACAGTCATTAGTACAGCTGTTATTGTCACTGTACAGCTTTAGTTCTTGTGGGTCAAGAATTCACCCGAGCACTGCAAATAAAACTAACACACACAAAGCTTGTTTGTTAATGTGGATTATGACATTTGGGTCTGAATACCAAGGAGACACCTTCAAAAACAGCCCCCCTCTCTACTGCTAGGAATCCATTGAGCATTTTCACAATGTTACATTTTAACTTTTCAGGAAGTATGTGGGATGGGAGTCATTGCAACATAGTCACAGCAAAATGGATATCATGTGTCCTGGGTTGGCTCACCCAGCTTGTTTTGAAAGCAGTGCATTTAGGTCAACAACACTCTGCTTTTACCTACTGAAGGGGGATCACTTTCTAAGTTTCCAACAAAATATTTAGCAAAATTCACTCGCATGGTACAACACACAAAAAACTAAATATCATGGCCCGAACTGAAGGTATGCTCAGGGACTTGTTGATCTACAGCTCTTGCCTGCTAGTCAGCTGCCTGTCATTGTGGGCTGTATCTAGAGGCATCTGAGGAAAACCTATTTTTATACTTGTGAATCTGGGGGCAAAGAATCTAGTGTTCTCAAAACAAACTTCAGGCCACTGGTCTTCAGGCTTGTTACTGTTGTTCACGTGACAGAAAAAAGTGAAATTCTTATCATTTGATAGTGTAATTACATTTCACTGCCTCACTGCAAACTCTTGGAGCCACTTTGTCTTTTTTGTGCCAACAGTAAACATTTGATCTGTGATTTTTTTTTTTTTTTAAATCAACATAGGGTGAAGTCAAAGTCATCAATTCTGCTGAGCTAACTAAATCTTCTTTTTCCCCCCAACAGTATGAAGTGAAACGGAACTGAATTTTTGTACCATCCGCAACTGCTTCAAGTTCAGATCATAACAAAGAAACCGAAGATCAACCTCCCCAAGACAAGCAAAGTTGCAACACCGAAGACACACTGAAAAAAAGGATCACTTCAACGGTTTAAAACACAAGAAGTAACCAAATCCTGAAACGACCAAAGAAGACACACATCAGCCCAATTGAAACACAGAAGAGAAGCAATCCTATGCCCAAGCATATTCTGAGAAGACAATAACTGATCTGAAACCAGAAGTTTGTGCCTACTCAACAGCTTTGACAAAGCACACGTCCCAACGCTGCTCCTAGCCCTCCTCATCCTCACCACACCACCGACTCACCGGGGTGTGGAGTGGGCTGCTATCTGCTAGTTTTTTTTTCTCTCCCCCATAGTTCCTCCGGTCTTCCCTCCCTCTACTCTCACACTGTTTTCATTATAATTTTTTTCTAAGCAGTGTTATTGCACCTGCGTTTTGCCTTTTTTTTTTTTGAGCTAGATTTCTCCCCCTTTTTGCTTTATGCAACCATCTAGAACTTGTGCCAGAAACCTGTAACAAGTGTGTGTGTGTGTGTTTGTGTGTGTTTGTGTGTGTGTGTGTGTGTGTGTTCAACTGTGTGCGTGAAGAGATCTGCAGGACCTGCATAGTCACCGAGATCCTAAGAATTACAAGATTCAAGACGACAAATAAAGGTGGGTCTCAGTTGTAGTCCCTTCGTAACACGAGACCTGTCATGTTAATGACAACTGTACTTTTTAACTGTTTAGTCACTTATGATTTAATTAGTCATGTTTTGAATGATTTCCTCCCCCCCCAATATGCTGAAAACTTTTCCCTGTAAGCGGTTTACAAAAATCACACAGAATTTGATACTGCAAGTTGGGTCAGAAACTGTAATTGATAAATTCCCTGTTTTGTACACATTACCCTAATATACAGATGTACAAACACAGATTGTGTCACACTCTCAATTCTGATTCAGTTTGGCCAGCTGTGCTGACTTTTGGGCAGCAATGCAGAGGTGGTTTTCTATCACTGAACACAAACAACAATGCTTTTGTTCTTGTTTGCTTTAGCACATCCAACTTTGACCAGGACATGTACTATTTTTTTAATTTTTAAATTTTTTTAAATGGGTTTTATTGAAACTTTCTGGATTTGTGCGCTCATCAATTAGTTTGGGGTTCTCAATTTTTAAATTGCAGCATCTACTATTTCGCAGCTGCTGATTTCACTGATTGGCACACCTTCAAAGAATGGACAGCATATTAGCTTGGCACATGATTAACATTCCTGATATGGAATGAGTGTGATATGTGACAGAACTGAAGGTTTTATTGTCAGTGACCTCTAGGGCTGCACAACATGGTAAAATCATCATATTGCGATTCATGCTTATGTGGGAATTACATTTTCTTTTTTCATTACAAATTGAATTAAATCTGGAGAACAATATTTGTAGACCAGGCTATCTGCAGCATTACAGTACTTCATTATAATGCTGTGTTGTCACAAATTTTACCTTTATCAAAACATTACAGCTCCTGCAGTTTGTGTATTGCACTTGGCCATATTGCGATTTTTATAATATTTAGATTAATTGTGCAGCCCTAGTGACCTCTACACCTCTTCTATGAAGCATAAAGCTAGCTAAACTGAACCGCTACCATTTCCAAACAGTTAAAACGGTTATTCAATTCAGTTTGAGAATGATTTGACTGCCTTCCCACACCCAGCCCGCACCTCTTTCCTGTTATGTCGTTTTCAAGTCATATCCTCCCTGATTTTTGCCTTTTCTGGGGGGTAAAAGCCCACCGCTATTTTCCTTTGTTTGTGACACTTGGCACACTGGCTGTCCTATCTGCCTTACCCGTTATGTTTGTTCCTCTCTTCACCCTTGCAGACATCCAGCGGTGTATCATTTGGGTGGTTACATAAAAATAGTACTTAACAGTCAAGCAAAAACATTCAAACAAGTAATCAAGTTCAGCAAGTGCTCAAGCAACTTTGGTCCGAGTTTATGGGAAAATATGGGCAGCCCCTGGAAAGGCTTTGTTGAGTTTACCTTGCCTGCGTCGCCACCCACCGCGTTTGTTAGCGCTGACCTGAGCAGCACCTCCCCTGTCGGACTCAGCCTGTCGCCATATGGCCGATCCGTAAGTTCCACCTTCCCACCTCTTTTCTACGTGCCCCACCCCATCGAACACCCATCCACCCACCTTGCCCCGCATCTCTCTGCTGTGAATGGCCTAACCTCTTTCATCCTTTTTCGGGCTCCCGAGACAAGCCTCTATTAGTTATATTGTTGCAGGGTGAGGGGTGTTCTTCTGATTTAGACTGTAGAAATTTGGCACTCTTCATAAGCCTTGAAGAGTCCTTTTTTTTTTTTTTTCCCCCTCAATTTTACTTTTGCGGCACAATCCAGTGAAACCTTAGTCAGACCGTGACACGTGCACATCGTGTTGAGCTACATTAATGCTGGTATATAACTTCTCTCAAATCAAAGCAACAAAGTTAAAGTACATACCAGTTGGTCCCTAGTTTTAAAAAAAGAAAATTAGAGGAGTAGCTCTTTGCGATAGTGCATAACAGGGCCTAACAGAAGAGGCTGCTCTGGGACCCCCCTCATAACCCATAACCCATCACAAACTCTGTCCACTGTAGATGCAATGCTACCTGACCTGTCATTTGCATTTTCCAATTCTCCATCTTCAGTAGTTTTATTTTACCTGATCTTGTAGCATTTGCGACACTTCTCTTAAACTATTTCCCCCTAACTTGCTGCACAAAGAAGTTGGTCGATTAGTTGTTGGTCTTCTTTGTAGAGCCGTACCTGTTAGAAAGCACTAGTGTTTTGAACCACTTAGTGCCATTGGTGGATACTGTAATGTGAGATTGTCATGGTAGCAGATCCATCGTTACTGAGTGGCCTTATGGTTTTCTGCTTGGGATTTTGGTGTCAGGATTTTCTTACAGTGGTGTTGGTTGTGATGAGCCGCGATATATTATATTATTGGAGGAATCTTTGTACACATGAATGTGTAGTTTATTGCTGTGATATTGTGAAACTTGTATATATGTTGGACCTCCCAAAATCGGTGCATGTCATGGGTACAACTATCAGCAGAATAGTAGTGTCCAGTAGACGATGCAGTATTTTATACTGAAATGCTGTAAAACTGGTTTTGCATAATTTAATAACTTGTGATATCTGGATAAGGGTAATTATAAGAAAACGATGTAACTATGCTCTTTTTCAAAGCTGTTGCCTCCTCCCCAACAGCATATCAAAGCCCTATCCCCAGTGTCAGAAATGGAACGAGGCTCCTCTGAACCTCCAGTGGCTCGCAACACTGGCTCTGCCCCATCTACCTCTACTGGTCCCATGCCTATCCCTCGCTCCTCTTCTGTCTCTTGCCATCCCCACCCAGGAAGTAAAAAACACAAGCGGACTCCGTTGTATCAGAGATCAGTAAGGGGGCATGTTCGGTGGTGCCCACACTGACTTAACAGCCCAGTGAGCTGCTGTTTTGTCATGTGACTTTTGCTTAACAGCATGGTATGTTGCGTGAAATAAGAGTTCAACCAGGTTGCAGTGGCAGATTTTGATGAGTGAATTTTTATAGATTTTCCAGTATATTTAAGCGTTGGTAGAGGGAGGTGAAAAGTTTTTTTGGTTTTTTTGTTTTTAACACTTGTCTGTCTAACCCGAATTGCATGGAATTTCTGCAAAGTCTTGTTAGTGCTTTAGGTGTTTCGGAAGTAAAATCACTTGACAAATTGAGTGAATTTTAGTGCATGACACTTGTAAGCCAAGGTGCCACACGGTGTCGTTATTGTGTGTGTTCATTTATATTTTTCAGTCGATGGTATAAAATGTCCTGAAATTCTGTGTAGGCATCATCAACGTGTGTGCTCTGTTGATGAACATATACCCCCAGAAGACTCTGATGTAGCTTTTGCTTTTTTCCCCTCCCCACTTCCTCTGAAGTTTGCTCTACCTGCATGTTTTGAAGTGATTTCTTTTTTTGTTTGGTTTTTTAAGGTTGGCATCAAACACTGCATTAAACTGCAGCCTCTTTTTTTTTTTTTTCTTTTCTTGTTTGCTTCATTATGACCCACTCCTGGATGCATTTTAACACTTGCCTCTTCTCTTCCTCAGATGAGTTTTGACCCAGGCATGCTCCATAACAATGGACACACTGCATACGCCACAAACGGCACAGGGCCTGGCATTAGAGAGACTGGTGTAGTGGAGAAACTTCTGACTTCTTACGGGTTCATCCAGTGCTCCGAACGTCAGGCTCGTCTCTTCTTCCACTGTTCCCAGTACAATGGCAACCTGCAGGAGCTTAAAATAGGGGGTGAGAGCCTTGGACTTGTGTACCAATCATACATACTTAAGTTGTTGTTCCTGTATCATTCAACATGTGCTAAGTGTGTTCTCTTCTGCTTCTCTGTCCTCAGATGATGTAGAGTTTGAGGTATCCTCTGACAGGCGCACTGGCAAGCCCATAGCAGTGAAGCTGCTAAAGATAAAGCCAGAGGTGCTGCCAGAGGAGCGCATCTCGGGCCAGGTGGGGCCAGACCTGCACGCCTATCCCTTTACTGTGCTGCATGGTTATATTCATCCAGTTAAGGAACACCATTTTATTTTTGGTTCTGTCGTTGTCTGTCAACTTAACATGTATATCGCCCATTGTGTGTGTTTGGGCGGGGGATGTTATTGTAAGTAGACTGTAAAATTTGGTCCCCCTCTAATCCCCCATCTAAATTAAACTTTTTCCTTCAAGATTTCCAGTACATTTGAATTTCAGATTTGGCTTGTTGTGCTGACATGCATGTTTACTGGAGCTGTTGAATGTCTATTGAACAAATATGGTCAAGTGATCAATGTAATTGCCCAGTGGCTATATTAATTTCTCTGTGAATGTTCACAGCAACTAGTTATAATTCAGTTGGTCAGTTTCACAAGCTAAACAAATCTTACATGTACCATTCTGGTACACAGTTGTAAAGAGTCAAAGAGCCTGACTGCTGCATCATTTAAGTTGAGGTCAGCAATGGGAAGGCCGAGCGGTGCTATGGCAGACTTTTTGGTTATGTACACTTCATTAATGCAGACACATAATGAATCTAATTCTACTCTACCTCACACTCATACTGATTCATTCACTCACTAACATGTCAGGTTATCAACATGCTAGAGGCTGTTGGAGGCCTGACTGTGTACAGATTTTACACAGCAGCACAGTCATGTACATGCAGCTCTGCTAACCTGTAGATGGTTTATCTGTGATACTTGATATACTTGTTACTGTGACATTTGAAATTCAGCCATTTCATCCATCCATCATGTCCAGAATTATTTTAGTTGGGCTATGTAATGACAATGAATATTCAACCTAGGATTGGCAAAGCAGTGTGTTAATGGCCTCCGCCTGCAATTTCTTGCAGGTTGTCTCAGCAATCCCGGTGCACTTGGATGGAAAGTCTGCTCCTGGCCAGGTGCCCACTGGCAGTGTTTGTTACGAAAGAAACGGGGTAAGAAAAGTAGCATGGATTACAGCATGCTTCATCAATGCAAGGCAGAATGTTAATTTATGTACAGACAGCACTCTGTTACTTATCCCATGCTTACCTGGGTAATTCTAAATGCTTACTTAGTACTTACATCTGCTTCCATGTTATAGTTAATGATAATGTGTCTCAATGATCTACAACCGTATGCTCAGAAACTGCATGTGCTCACTCCAGACACCATGGGGTAAATCTTAAGCCTCCACAGTACATGGCTGGTTGTCCTTTATTTATATATATATTTATATAAATATGTATGTATGTATGTATTTTTTTTTACTCTGTCTGAAATGTGAAATATTGTTACGATTAATAGGTGTACCCTAAACTCTTTAACAAAGTTTTACAGTGGTGTGATGTTCCACAGGAAGTGTTCTACCTTACCTACACTCCTGACGACGTGGAGGGTAATATCCACCTGGACACAGGCGACAAAGTCAGCTTTTACATGGAGACCAACAAGCAGTAAGTCTTTACACCATGTCAGAAATGTCTTAATACTTCCCAGCTGGCACTGGATAGTTAGATTTATTGCTCTTGTTTTTCAGTACCGGTGCAGTCAGCGCTCGTAATATTCAACTTGTGAAGAAAAAGCAAATGAGATGCCAGGGTGTGGTGTGTGCTACAAAGGTAAGGACCACTGATATCATTACATGGACCAGGGTTCTTAAACAATTCAGATATAGTCTGGTAGTGGTGGTTCTTTTTGACTTCACAAAACTAAATGCAAAAACGATTGAGAAACGAAGTCCTACACTTCCCTGTCAACCCAGGAACTGATCTGTTTTTAGATGGGTTAGTTAATGCCGGTTGTATCTGGTTCCATACCATGATTTCCACCATACAGATGAATATGATATATTGACTAAAATGCATACATAAATTTGAACATGAGTTACTTTAGCCTCAGCATAAAAAAATTCCTCTAAGATAATCCACTGAACTCTTAATACAGGCCCTGGATCTTCCGTTGTGAGTCATAGGTTGCTGGTACCTGTTGTGTTGAACCATATGTTGTCCTTTAGGAGGCGTTTGGATTCATTGAGAGAGCCGATGTGGTGAAGGAGATCTTCTTTCACTACAGCGAGTTCAAGGGTGATCTGGAGGCTCTGCAGGCTGGAGATGACGTTGAGTTCACCATCAAAGACAGAAATGTAGGCGCTTTTCAGCAAATTTGGATATATCATTATTTACTGATCAGCCTGAATATTTGTGTACAACATTGTTTATATTTTATGTTCTTGTGGTCATAGGGTAAAGAAGTAGCCACAGATGTGAGGCTGCTCCCCCAAGGAACGGTCATCTTTGAGGATATCAGCATTGAGCAGTTCGAAGGCACTGTCGTCAAGGTCATTCCCAAGGTTCCCACCAAAAACCAGGCAAGTAGATTGAAGGTCTTTGGTTTTAAAAGCAAGCAGGGAACTGTGACCCACCAACCAAGAATATAACCAACAACTTTGACATATCCTTTTCTTCCTGCTTCCATAGAACGACCCTCTACCAGGTCGTATCAGTGCCCGGATTGGTTTCACTGATAAGGAACTGCCGTTTGGTGAGAAGGACACAAAGTCCAAGGTGACCCTTTTGGAGGGAGATCACATACAGTTCAACATCTCCACCGACCGCCGAGACAAGCTGGAGAGGTCTACCAACATCGACATCCTCCCAGACACCTTCAACTTCACCAAGGAGACCCGTGAAATGGTGAGTATTACGAAAGAGTAAATTTGATTTTCCTGGTCAATTTGTATATGAAGCATGATGAGAAGGAGAGAGGGAGAGAGAGATTCATCCATCAAACTGAAGTGAATACCGATTCAGACATTAACTTTGTCACCCAATCTTCTCCTAGGGTGTGATTGCGGCTATACGTGATGGCTTTGGCTTCATTAAGTGTGTGGATCGGGATGCCAGGATGTTCTTTCATTTCAGTGAAGTTCTAGAGGAGAGCCAACTGCACATCTCCGATGAAGTGGAGTTCACTGTTGTGCCTGTAGGTCCTGTTTATAAGCTTTTCACAAAAGTATGTATTCAGTATTATTCCTTAAGCAGGTCCATTCAAATAATTTTTTGTCAATAACAAACTAAAAGTAAATGTCCCACTGTTTCCAGGATATGCTGTCTGCTCAGAGGAACCATGCAGTGCGCATCAAGAAGCTGCCCAAGGGCACAGTGTCCTTCCATACCCAGTCTGAGCAGCGCTTTGTGGGTGTGGTGGAAAAGGAAGTTGTGGCAACCCCCAACAAGAATACTAGTCCCACCAAGACCAAGGAGAAGGTACTATTATGACCAGAATTTTTGTACATGAAAATACCACCAGAATCAAAAACAGTAGCCTTATAGTCCACTCCAACCCACTTCATCGACCGACATAATCTACCCACTTCCCAATTTTTGTTTTAGTTCTAATTTTCCTCTTTGCTTTCTCCTCCAATGACTTCATCCTGTTCATGCTCCTTGTTGGTTAGAAAAAAGACAAGGTAGGACTTGAACCTCCTGCATGAAGCCACATCAATGAAGCCTCACAAATAAAAGATAAAGATGCTCGTATTCTAGACAAATTGTACAAACTTATACAAATAGTCTATACGTTTCACTAACATGTAGGCTAAGATAATTATTTGATTCCTAAACTTTAGATGAACAATCTAAAGGTCAGCTATCAACAAATAATGCAGCGTGATGTTCACAAGCTTTGCTGTCTAATGGATGTCTTATTTTATTTTTTTTTTTTAAGGGTAAAGTTGTAGAAAAGGTCAGTCTTTGCAGGCTTCTGGCCCACTGATTGCCTCCTTTATCCTGTTTTATTTGACAGCATGGTGTTTGATCACCAATTAACCCGTAAACCCGAGTCTTGTATCACTGGTTCAGTGTGTTGTAGGGCTGCACAATTAATGATGAAACGGTAGTCCTAGTTACTAGTATGGTTTGTGGGAACCATCTTAAGTATTTTTATAAAATATATCATTCAATAAAGTTTTCTTTTTGTCCTACCAAATGATGTAAGCAGCATCTGGATTAGTCATTTAATCAGCATTTATCTGGTCTCCATTACACCATCCCTTTTTGGCACTTGAATTCAAGATAGTAAAAATACATATGTGTGTGTATATGTTTGTAAACACTTACTTTACTTTTGTTGGGATTAAGTGCCTAACATATACTTTCCAGTAAATGACATGCTGATTGGTTCAGGCAATTACTGTGAATAACTGTGGAGAGAATAAACTAAGTATTGCAGAACTGTTCCCAATAATATAATGATAGTGGAAACTACAATAGTGCTGGGTAATTATGCAGCCCTACATTGTAGGCTGTAACTCAGAGCTGTCGCAGTAGACTAGCCGAACGCTAACCAATTAGGCTGCTACAGAATGATGCAATGCACACTGGTGCCTCTCGTATGCTTGTGTAGACAATCTGCGCACCTTCATCTAATACACTTCATCCTATGAAATCATCTGTTTGAAACAGTTGAGACATTGGTAGCTTACACCAGTTTTGTTGCAGCATTGATGAGATAATCGACCTTGGCTGGGGACAGCTGGATCAGCTATTGGTGGTGCTAATTTCTTATAATGATGATTTACGTTTGTTTCACTCTCTGTAGGAAGCTGAGGAAGGAGTTATTGCATATGAAGACTGCGGAGTGAAGCTCACTGTGCCATACCATACCAAGGACCTGGAGGGAGGAGGCTACCCACAAGTCGGAGACAAGGTATTTGAGAATTAAATTAAGACGGTACCAAAGGAAAACAACGAGAAACTCTTACTTAAAAGGATTTGCATATTGAAGTAATGAGCTCAATTGTTAGTCACTTCCAAATAGGTGGGGAATATGCGGGCTGCTCCCTATACCAGACCTAGACTGCTAATATAACCCACTTTGTTTTTATTTTTTATTTTTTTGTAGTTGTTTGCCGTGACTTTTTCCTAATTCATACATGAAGACCTTTGTGTTTTTGCCTTTCCACTGTGTGTGACGTATTGACTTTTGTACTTCAGGTGGAGTTCTCTATCAACGAAGTGAAGCGAACTGGCCAGCAGAGCGCAGTCTCCATCAGGGTCCTCAACCGTAACGCCTCCAATGCGAAGAGACTGCATGGATTTGTTGCCACACTGAAGGACAACTTTGGCTTCATTGAGACAGCAAATCATGACCAGGAGATTTTCTTCCACTACAGGTAGTAAAGGTTAAAGTTCTAAGATGCGTTTTTTGAGGGATTTAGTTGCTCATTTACCTATTAATGGCTTCTTATATTGGATTTCTCCTCAGTGAAATGTGTGGAGACTTGGAGAACTTGGAGCTGGGCGACACTGTGGAGTACACTCTCTCTAAGGGAAAAGGAAACAAAGTTAGCGCTGAAAAGGTTACTAAAGTGGCTGCAGGTATGATAGGTTTAATTCTAGCTATATCACTTATAATATTCATATTTGGAATGTTTGGTGGCCTACAAATAGTGTTTGTCACATTCAGTGAATGGCATTGGTGAGGATGTCGGTGCGACAGTGATGATGGGGAAAGTCATCCGTCCCTTACGCAGTGTGGATCCCTCCCAAACGGAATACCAAGGGCTTATTGAAGTCACAGAGGAAGGTTGGTATAGTGTTATGAGACTTGTAGACCAACATTTAAAGCACTGTTAAAACTTTGGATGATATTGATCCTACTCTTTTTGGTTGTTCAGGTGGAACTAAAGGCCAGAACTATCCCTTTGGAATCATGGGTATGGCAAATAAGGCAGATTGTCTGCAGAAAGGAGAACTTGTGAAGTTCCAGGTTTGCACAGTTGCTCAAACTGGACAGAAGATGGCCTGTAATGTGGTCCCTCAACGCAGAGCCATGGTGGAGTGTGTCAAAGACCAGGTAGTGATCCGTTACTCGTTTCATTAGCACTCATTGCATCTCACGTGTCAGAAATCTGTGTTGAACTTACCTTTACTACAGTATTACAGCTGGAGTATGTTGTAATGCCAATTTTGAATCCTGAGGTTGTTGTTTTGTTGTCCCCAGTTTGGCTTCATCACATATGAAGTTGGTGAGAGCAAGAAGCTGTTCTTCCATGTAAAAGAAGTGCAAGATGGCCTGGAGCTCCAGACCGGGGATGAGGTGGAGTTCTCTGTTGTCCTCAATCAACGCACAGGAAAATGTAGTGCCTGTAATGTACGCAGAGTGAGGTAAGGACTCCAGCAGACAATTAATGTTGTAGAACCTGGTTTACAGTTTTCTGGATAGAATTCTGCCTTAACTTGTTGGCAGTACACTGTATGTTAAACATTTTTAAGTAACATAGACCTCAGACCGATTATCTTCATGTGCCTAACGTTACAGTGAGGGGCCTAAACCGGTGGTGACTCCGCGTCCTGATCGTCTGGTGAACCGATTGAAGAGCATCACTCTTGACGACGCCAGTGCTCCTCGCCTGGTCATTGTGAGACAGCCCCGTGGTCCTGACAATTCAAAGGTACAACCAATCCTGTGCTATTGCCTTATTTTATCTGTACTATGTATGTTCTTTGGTCTGATTTGTTAATCATAGCTTTAAATACCTTTTTTTATTATTTTTTATTAATAATATTGTAAATATTTATGTATAAAATAAGTGTTTTTAATGATAGAATTTATACCAGTACATATAGTGGAAAACAAGGCTCTATACTGAATCAGCTGGATTAGATCAGAATGAAGTACCTGGAAAAATCAATGTAGATAGGTGTTGCATTAATGCAAAAATTGTACTATTGCCATATGCAGTTAACAGTAACTGCACATCAGCTGACAAGATGTATATGGCTGGCTTTTAGGGTTTTTATTATTTTTTTTAATGTTAAGTATTTAGAGTTAATAGTTTTAGATCTTCCTCCCTGTAACTTCTAATAGTCATTGGAATAATTTTGCATTTATTTAAGCTGCAAGACTAATATTTCTGTCCCCATCCTGTTCAGGGCTTCAATGTTGAGCGCAAGACCCGCCAGCCAGGTGTCATTGACTGAGCAATACAGAGCCCCGCCCTGTTTGGTGTTGGTGGGATGCTGTCCCAAAGGGCAACAGCAGGGGATAAGGGAATTAAATTTAACACATGCTTGTACACAAACTCATACACAAAACATACGCACACATACAGTAATCGGCATGTGTAATCTTTGTCCCCATTGATACCTGCGTGGGAACTTTTTTCATTCCACAGTTCCCTGCCTCCCATGTATGATGTACTTGATAAAGAGTTCCACACTGCGGTGTACGTGGGATCTGAGTGTGTGTGTGTGTGTGTGTGTGTGTGTGTGTGTGTGGGGGGTGTGTGGCGTGTGTGCGTGCGCGTGTGTGTGTGTGTGTGTGATGTATCCTAGGAGTCATCATAGTGTGTGTAACTGAGATATTTGTTTCTGAGGGTCTTGTACCTCTAAATCAGAGTGATGACTGTGTGGCTGTCTATGTCCTTATCTTTTGAATCTGCTTTGTCTGGAATTCTGCACCTGTAATCTGTCCAGTAGTTTTGCCTGGGTGAATGAGTGTGATTGTTGGCATGTCTTTTGAGCATCTGCTCCTTTATTTTTTTTTTTTTTTTTTTTCTCATATTTTTTTTTGCTCCTTTACCCATGGAAACTTAAAATGCATTCATTGTAAAGTTTCCACTACTGTATGCTTTCCTACAAGACGCATAAAGCAAAGCAAAGTTCCCTCCATAAGGAGGATCATATTTCTCATATGTGCGAGCTTAAACTGAGGATTCTTCTCTGCTCGGTTTTTTGAGCAGTTTTTAAAATGCTTTATTGAAGAGCTGAAGTGAAAGCATGGTGTGTGTGTATGATGTACGTGAATGTCAAAGTAGTTAATCTAATGGGATTTACTTTTACCAATCTGGAGCCTTTTAGATACCTTTTTGGTATTCACATGCTCCACTTAAGCAATTTTTCCCAGGTGCAGAATTCCTTGTGGCATCTTATATCTGCGGTTCTTTTATACTATGTTTTTTTTTCTCTTTTTTTCTCTTGCACATATTTTTGCTTTTTTTTCCATTGAAACTCAATCTGCTAATATTGAATTAAGTAAGAATAAGGTGCCTAAAAAAAAAAAAAAAAAAACTACAAGCAAAATTAAATAAAAAAACAACAAAAAATTAGATGTATCCTCTGTTCCCAGCCAACCGCCAAAATATTCAGAACAATCTTAGGGTGGCTTTCTTTTCTAGTAGAAATAATACTGATATGCATCCCAAACCTGTGGGTTGAACTATACTGTATGTAATGTGTGCTTTTTTTTTTTCTTAGTGAAAGTTCAAACTTCAGATATAATGAAACGAATTTAACTTAAAGAAGGAGAAAAGTAAAGTATTAGAAATTCAGTCTAAAAAAAAAAAAAACAAACAAAAAAAAAACTAAGAATCAGGATATCAGTTATTGTGCTCTGGAGACATGCTGGGTGAGCTTTGTGCCTCTGCACATTAAGTTACAGTCAAATTAATTTCAACTTTGGAGATCACTGGGTTTCAGTTGAACCACGTACAGAGGTTCTCATGTACTTTTGTTAATGGTCTTGAATGAAACAATTGAATTAAAGTTTTATGAAAATCATGAGCTGTTGTGTAATTGTCTTTTTATTTTTGCACGTCTGCTTTATTTAAGACTGAATACAACTTCAAAGCATCAAGTAGCTGTGGAATGTATCATGCAGACCAGTGTTCAGTCAAGCACAGGAAATGACCAACAGTTGTTACAAACAGACCAAGGTGAATATGCCTTGTTTAGTGCTCCACAGATAAATCCTAACAACTAGGGCTTCTCAGCAGATGACAAAATGTACAAATTCACCAAAGATGAATTCAGAGCTTTCAGTCCAGTGCCACCCCTCTAAGATGAGCACCAGCTCTCTTCAGGAGTGCAGCTGTATGTAGTATTTGTGTTGCAGAGAACAGCAAAATGCATCATCCAAGCCATAATTTATTTAAGGCTGATTCTTTGCTTGCATTCTCAGAGGCAGCTTAGTCTTCATGAAGGACACAATGTCATTAAGTCTAAAGAGGCTTTTGTGCCTATGGACATCATCTGTTCTCAAACTTGAGGGGAAGAATCCCCAAAATGTACAGATGAAAGCTGCCTGCGAGACAAAATGAAGTTTCTAATTTATATGAAATAAAGGCAGAAATGCTCTCCTTTGATTTCCCTCTCTTCCATTAAAGTTACATCATGTACAATATATTCCATAATTTCCAAGGCAAGGGTTGGATGAATTAAATTCTTAGTCTGTTAATTTAAAATGTGCTATATCGACTTCAGTTGATCCTTTGTTGACAACCACAGGGGCTGACTTTTGGTTCAGAACCCATTTAATCACTAGAGGGCTCACTAAATAAACCAAGGGAAGGCTGTGCTAATGTCGATGTGGGTGCACCAGGGTGCTAGTGTCTACATCCCAACACACAGAGGACACAAAGTATTGGTTATAAACGCTCAATGCAAGTTAAACCAGGAGGATCACAGTCTTGCATTTTAAAGAATACAATTGTTAGAACTGTTGTACAATGAAAAATTCATATTTATTGACTCAATAATTGACTTTATCTGATTCTAAACCTTGGTGCTCCCCAGATATATAGTAAGCTCAGAGCGGTGAATCACCTTCTTTTTAGTCTGTGATTGAGAGCCTTGGGCTTCGGACCAGCGTGTCCACCACTCCCTCAGCTCGGTGGGTCCTGTGGGCCGTCGCTCCTTTATCTGACTTGGAGGAACTAGAGCATGAGGAGGGTTTAAGTCTTCTCTGGGCAGAAACTTCCTGTTAATATTTACATCCCCATCTGGATCAGATTGTTGTCGCTTTAGGTCCTTGGTTGAAACAGCTGAAATCCCAGTGGCCGTTGTTGCATTTGCACCAACCTTTGAAATCAGATCTAACTTCTCTTGAGCAACGTTTTGAGTGGCAAAGAAATCAAGTCCCTGCATTTTGTGCCTGTACTCCTCCAGTTTGTGCTTGCACTCAATGGCCTTCGCCCTCATCTCAAGGAACTGACGCTGCAAATCCATCTCGTAACCTTCTTCTGCCTTTAATTCGTTCTCCCAAAACTTGATCTGCTCCATCTCCTCTTCAGCCATTCTCTCCTGGGCTTCCTCCTCATCTTTTTTGGCCCTCTGTTTTTCCTCAAGCTCAAAAATCTGTTTGTCAACGCGTGCTATCTGGACTTGTAAATCTTGCAAACAACTGAGCTGACATATAATGGTTTCTCTTAGACAGTTTTTCTCATCTTCAGTTGTAGCACAGCTCGAGCTGAACAGGCCATCAGATTTTGCCTCTTGACTTTTCTTGGAGTGTTTGCTTTCTTTGCCCTTCGTCTGACTTCCCATGCAGCAGGATGTTTGACTATCCAAGTCTGACTTTAAACTTTTCTGTCCTCTGACTTTGCTCCTGCTACTTCGACCTGAGTAATCTTTGTCAACAGCGAGAGAAAAATCCAAAGAGGTGCGATTCCTTTTATCACTCCTCTTACTGCTTTCCTTATCACAGGCAGTACTATAGACCTTGCCTTTACCCAGACTCTCCAGCCATTCCAAGGCCTCTTCCATGAGCGTCAGAGACTTTCTTTTAGGCTTTTTCAGGTCCTCTTTTTGCTGCTCAGTCTCTTGTCTAGAACCCGACAACGGTGGCAGGCTTTGACGATGCAAACTAAGTGAACCGCTGCCCCGCCGCATTCTGGTGCCTGGGTCTTTTCTTCTCAACGGCGGGCAGGGCTGGTATCTTCCAACTTTTGTCCTACTCATTTCATCCCAGACTGAGGGTCCGTTGTGGAGCAGTGTGAGTTGGACCTCTCTGGCCTGCTCACCGTACTTCTCAAGTGTCTCCAGAAGGTGTTCGTTGGGCGTCATGCACCGCTCAAAGTCTTTGAATTTCTCTCGTAGCGTGTACCGTCCACTTTGACCTAAAGAGAAAGATGGCAGTGGGGTTGTCAGCTTGGTTAACATGTCAGAGTACAAATCTTATTACAATGTAGAGACACACATACCCAGTGCTTGGGCCAAAGCTATGACCACTTCTTGGCATGTTGTTTCCTCTGTAACTCCACAGACCACACGCGGGATACCGTCCACAGACACCTTCACTTCCATTGTACCCAATCTGCGATTTGAAAAGGACAGTAAAGTTTAGTCAGTGTCTGGCACATTGTGCAAGGCTCACTTCTCTGTTAGAGGAAATGGTGGAGACATTCACTGTTATCTGTCTGCCCATCATGTTGTCGGTCAAGCTCGAGGGCAGTTTAAAGCATTTTAATAGGATGTCTACAGTGACCTTTGTCCCTCTAATACCAAAAGTAAATGAACAGAAAACAAGCTTTAAATAATTAAAAGAAATATTCATTCTAAAATATTAGAAGGACCTACCTTTTTGTCCTGCCTGTAGTTAAGATGGTCAAACCTCTCTGCTCTGGGGGAATGTTCTGTTTGGGAGGAACAGTTGAGCAATTAAGACCAATTGAAATTCCCAAAGGCAACTACCACTGTTTATGATCCCACCCATCTTGCATAGTTTCCATTTTCCCTGAAAAAACACAACAAAATTTAATTTCCCGGCTCATATGACAGAAAAAACAGCAACAGGACACATTTTATCGGGCACTGTCGGTATTGAGATGGTATTAGGAACATAAACAGGAGTCTAAGTTATCAATCAGTGCTTAAGGAGACTTTGAAGTTGGAATGAGGAAGCCTTTAGGTATATGTGTATTTCCATTACTCAACCCAAATGTATTAGTGTGTAAGTATTTTCTATACTCTTCAACAGCCAACTTTCTCAACAGTGACTGCTGAGGCCCAAGTGGCACTTCCATAGCAATGCTAAATGCTATAACATAGTGTAATGGTGTGTGAAGCAAGGTTTCAGTATTGTCATTATAATGTGAAAAGTTTCACATTTAGGCCAGATAAATAAAACCAGAAAAGTGAAAAACCTTTGTTATAACTTTAGACGTTAGAATATGAAAAAAAGAGAAAAAAATCTATAAGGAGTTGTTCTAGACTAACTACAAAATAAAGGTAGTGCCATTTGTGGAGTAAAATCAGTCTTATGAAACTTGCTGTGTGTGAAAACAAAGGTCCTGTATATACATGTGTGCACCAACGATTATGTGGTTTTGCTGGTTTAAGATTTGGGTGTTCCTCTTTATCTTTCTAACAGGAAGAGTGATAACAATCCAAACATAACATGTAAACATGCTGAATTTGTAAACTGTACGCCAGTGAGCCATTACTATCAAGCACATACTCATTCCTCACTGAGTCCGCGCTGTTACATATTCTCAACCTCCATTCATTAAAATCAGGTCTATTACTTTTCAAAAGTTCAGATTTTACCTAAAGCTAATGTACTTCTTTTGGAGATTTATAAAATAAATCTGTATTGTATGAAATATGTTGCATGTAATAAACTCCCCAGTTCACACTTGCAGACAACACAGTTGCTATAACGCTGCAGTGACATTCACTTGTCAGTGTGGCTGTTGGAGGAACCGAGGTCTTCACATTTCTTCCTACATGCACTTGGAGGGTTCGTCACCAGTGAACTTGACACCAGTGATATTCAATACCAAACAAAACATTGTTATATGACACTAACTTGAACTATTCATATCTATTAATACATTAGAAATATATATTTGGAGGTTACTTTTTTGGGTTTGTTTCATTCTGGTGTTCACAGCTTTGGTGTTCATTGCGCTTATGTTTTGCAGCTTCTCACAGATTATCATACTGAATGATATTTGAAATGAATTAGAAAAGTGAAAGCCATAGAAAACCTCTGTATGGACAAACACAACTCTCAGACTAGAAGCCGGACATGGGAACACCTGTTGTAATTTGGTAATGTCTGACAGTCTGGGGGATGATGATAGGAGTAATATGAGACAGGGGAAACTTGGACTCTGTGCTCCCTCTTGCCTATGTAAACCACATGGCAACTGCTGATAATCTCTTAGGTTCATGGTGAGGAACAGTGAGATCTCTGTACACCACGAAGAGCCAATCTTCAAAGAACTGTTCATTCATGCCAGCCTGTGCATTTGTTGCCACTTGCCTTTAACAGTTTGCCCTTCAAGTTCACGTTTATGTGGCAACTTGGCAAAAATCTGAGATGTTGCATAAAGAATTCATACAAAAACGTTCAACCTCAGGTTGTAGTTATTGTTGTCAGATCATTTGAGATGAGCAACTGAAGATTAAAACCGACATTTGTTGAGAAGAAATTCATTCAATTTCTTTGTTTAATAAATAGTTTTGATAACATTCTGTCGAAACAGCAATATGGCATGAGGAAATTAAATCAATCCATGTCTTGTGTTCAAGATTACAATACTGTGGATTCATGTGTCACTAGTTTAATTCCAATCATGAGTAAAACATAGACTGAAGTTTAACTTGGAATTGTAAAGGTGTCTTTATGAAAAGGATTAACTGAAATTGATTATTATTTACAAAATGTCTAGTTTTAACCGGTAGCTTTCCAGAAATTAAAACTGTAATTTTTATTTGTCAGTCTTTGGCTGATTTGACTGACTGCCCATTTCTAACCTGATCTCTTTAACTTGTACCAGAAGAGGAACTTTGACATTTAGGATCACATTCCCTAAAAATAGATAGCTTGTTAAGTGTCTTCAAGCTGCACAGTGTCTTAGGATGAACGGATAAGCAGACGTGTGTTACACAAGTGATGACGAGGATTTGTCCTTGGTAACAACCAATAAAACATAGCCATTACTTAAAGGGTAATTTCACGACAAAATTACAAAAGATATTTTTCTACTTACCAAATCTGGTATCCAGCAATGCAGATAGTTAAGGTCTTATTTGTCTCCGTTTTGAAATATCTCTCTGAGCTTTCTGCCCCTACCCTGATACAATGGAAGTGTGTTTGTGGAAGTTTGTTTGTGGTGCTCAAAGCAGTAAAAATTATATTAAAAACCTTAAGCAGTATTGAAGTACTGAAGTATCTTGAGAATGTCATATCGCAGCCGCCTCACCTGGCAGGAGTTACCTACTGCCCCTTATGTGAAGCGGATGGCATAAAATCACTCTCTTCCATCGCCCTTGCATCGTCTCAGGTTAGAGTCTTGTGGTTCAGACATTTGCGACTTCATAGGGTTTTCAAGAGGCCCCCCAGCCCTCCCTGTTTTATTTCGTCGATTGGCCCATGACACCTCAGATGGGCTCGACAGTGGAACGGCATTCTGGAACCACTCAGTCCCTCAGGTCTACTCACCACTTAGTTCTGCCCTCCCTCTCCTCTGCCCGCCTGGTTGTGCCATTCCTCTTAGTCATCTGGTCTCCATCTGCTTGGTGATGTTCCTGACCATTTTCTTGCAGACTAGCCCTCTGACCCTGCGGTTTTATCAATGAGCTCCAGAGTGACTGCCCTGGCAAGCCCCTGCAACCAACTTCCACCGGGAGGTTCCAGCCTTCTCAATCCTTTCCTCCCAGGGTACTGTTAGCTTCAGTAGGGCCAGGGTACAATGTCAGGACAGTAATTTCTTCTGGAAAATTGAGTTGCCTTCAAAGGCAAACTTTCCCAGTTCTTCACTGGCAAGGATCCCTGTACCCCCAGCCTCTCTGCCTTCTCCCCTGGACAGAATAATCTTTTGAGTCCTCACCTGATCGTGCTGCCATTTGAATCTGTCAGGCTTGTTCGGCATGATGTCAGTATGTGTTCCAGGTTGGCTGGTGTCCAACACAGGAAAAGCAGGATTTCTTAGCTGATTTATACCTTTCGAGGTTTGTTGGTTTTGGTAGGACCTTGTTCACAAGCAGTGGCCACAGGAGTCTTGGACTCCACGCTGGTAGCCCCAAGCCTTATACTTCCTTGGAAGGCTATTCCTCTCCAGGGCTCGTACCCACATCTCTGCTTAGTTGAGCATCTCATTCACACTTGTCTTGAATATTCCCCAAAAACAGGCGTCAGGAAAAATGCTCTGAGGAGAACAAATAAAAATCCATTCATGTGGCAGAAGTTTCAGAGAGGGTTATGTAAAAACCATGGCAAATAAAGCAAAAACTTTCTGAATGGATAGATATATTGCCTAATAAATACTGCATAATTTAGACTTCTAAATCTGATAATAATATGTCAACCTTATTAGAATTAGAATCAGAAATATGTTATTGATCCCTGGGGGGACATAGCTTAAGTAGTAAATATCTAATGTGATTAATTCCTTTTTGCAGCAAATTTGCTCTCACCAGTTACAGTAAGATTGATACTACCTGGTGATTAAGGGCAGCTTATGTGTGGCAGTTCACCACTTTGGTCCAGACTGAAATGTCTCAATAATTATTAGATGGATTGTCATGACATTTGGTACAGATCAGTCCCACGAGGATACATCCTAATGATTTTGGTGATGCATCTACTGGATGGATTGGCACAAAATTCTGAACTGACAATGATGGTCCTGAATCATAATGACTAGTGACTTTTGATCAAGTGCAATCATGAGGTCAACACTTTATTTTTGCCCAATAATTTTGATACCTGCAAAACTAATGACATTCCAAGCAGCCTCAACTGTACTGTGTTTAGTGTTAAGTAGCAAATGTTAGCATGCTAACATGCTAAACTAAGAAGGTTAACAAGGTAAAAATTCCCCCTGCTTAACGCCATCATGTTAGCATTGTCACTGTGAGTATGTTAGCATGCTGACATTAGCATTTAGTTCAAAGCACCAATAAGAACAGCCTTACTGAGCCACAAGTGTGATGGGAACTTGATAGCAGAAAAGTCACTAAAGTTGTTTTGTGAAGGTAAACAGAATTTGATCTACTGTGCAGAAGTTCTTCAAATTTTTCTCTCTGATCTTTGCCGTAAAAATGCCCATCAATTAAAAGACAAAAACAAGCCTCCGTTGTCCTAACCAAGACATTTGTGATATGGCTCAAGATTATTTTAAAGGGCCAATTCCACCTAATCTGAAGATTGATAAAAAAAAGTTGATTGTTGAAAAGTAGCAGCATGAAGATGAGGGTTTTTTCTTGGTAATTATAATATGAAAACCACTGGGACACCTCTGTGAAAGCTACACATTACTAAGGTCAGGTGTGAGGATCCCATTTTCCAGGTCCAATTTTCAGGATTGTCATGTTTTCAAACAAACACCATGGGGAGAGTCCTGTGGCATTTGCACTGTGCACCCCTCTAAACACCCACCTACCATGTGCATAGAGACCTGAGCAGATATCTGGGATGTTATATAATATAAGCCCCCCCACACACACACACACACACACACACACACACATACTTGTCTCTTTTGTCTACACGCTGTGCCTGTCAAGGAGTCCTGCATGCACACATAGACAACTTAAAATAGACTTGGACACATATGAGTTCCCCCGTTATGTTGACGCGTGTTCCGTGTGGGCATAGCAGGTTCTGGTTACACTTGAGGCAGAGGGAGCTTAATATTGCACCGACCAAGCACAGGGCTCCACACTTCCCTTCTACAGTGGGCCAGTGGCTGACCACCCTTTAACAGTCCTCAGGGAGCGTTTTACTGGACGAGCATCACCATGCCTAAAGTCTTAGTGCCAGGTGAGTATGAGCAGAATGACACTGGTCACCTACAGAAAGAGGGTTGAATAGCATTTTTTCAAAAAGTTATTTTACATTGACACGTCACTATAAAGATGAACTGAGGAAAGCCTTCACCAAAAGGGTTTTCAGTTTCTTTCTTTCCCCGAGAACTTGTAATGTATGTATGTATATTATAGGGGTCATATCCCTCACTGCGTAGAATATCAACAACTGTTAAGGTAATAAATTCCCATATGTTTGCCAGTGCTACATCATCACTCTAATAGATGGTACTGACAGCTTTAATGACAGGTTCATTGGGGTTAAAATGCATATAGTTCCAATATGAAGTTCATACTGACTAATATATAGTCATCACCGTCTCTTTCTTAGATTTGGACACTTAAATAAAATTATAAAAATACTGTTTCCCTTAATCTTAATCTGTGTTTGCACCAAATAGCTGACAAGTTTGAATGTTCCTGTTTTAGCTCAATCGGCAGATTCGAACATCTAAATACCTTTCTTCACCTCAGTTGGATCCATATCATAAAACAAACTGGCAGAGCAGAATCTAGTGAGCAATTGAGTATCCGCTGCGAAAAAGGAGAGGGATGTTTGATGGATGTGACTTGTCAGCAGATTCTCCTTCATCAAGTGTGACAGAAGGTTGGGCCATGCAGCAACCTTTGCTCAATTTGTACTTGCTCTATCGCTACTACTGTTCTAAATGCTGTTGTAATGGTTGCTAATTATAGGCTTACCGCCACCAAGCACTGAGCAACTGGCAAGTATGAAGTCGCATTATGCAAGGGGTGAAAAATAGAAATGCAATGGTCTGAACAGCTGCTGTCTGAAGAGCTTGATTTCACATCTTAATGGAGTTAGGTGGTTGTAATGATTTAGCAGGTAATGTCGGAGAGTGTTTACACTTGTTGTGATATTCTGATGTGACTGCAGAGATTTCACACCAATGTTGTCATGCGGTCCATGCAGGCAGGTTTTACGATCTGCTGGGGCAGGTGTGGAGAGCTGACAACAGATGCATTAATGATCAAACTGATCAAATTCAGATCAGTCTTATATAAAAGGGCCAGTTTACTCAACCCCCCCCCCAAATGCAGATTTAGCCATGCAGATTGTTTTTGGTTTTATTTACAGAGGTTTTGAGATACAATGAAGGTGAACGGAATTTAAATTTAATTTGTGCTGAAACATTCAAAACTTGAAACTACCCTGAAAAACTCAACTGTGTCAGGAAACATGTGCTGGACATGGCACATAATCCACAGAACTAACAATTTCATGTCAGTTTTCTTTTTGTGTAGCTCACTTGCTTCCTTTTAATTACCACTTTGAGACATAATCACACTTGTTTTGCTTTCCTCTAACCTGGACCGTCTCACCCTGACTTTTTGCTTACCGAGCAGAGGGAGGAAGTAAGTATGGAGCTAAGAAACTATCCAAGGAGTTGGGGGTAGATGTGAAGCATATCAAACGCATGGATGTGACTCAGTCACATCGCCAAATACTTTTTCATGCATTTAAATGTAATGCAATTACAAACGTAATATAGATCTTAGTAAATGAAGATCTATTCCACTGAAAATAGAAAGTAGGCTAATGGAATATAGTGGAAATGGACACTATTTATTAATGTATTGTTCACATTCGGTATCAGTTCTCTGCTTCATTATATTGGTTTGGATCAGATGCTTCACAAACACAGCATCATCAGTTTAAAACTGAACTGAAAGTGAATATTTACATTAATGAATGACTTTTCCCAGGTAGCTCACCGACCCCTCCACCATGGGAATGCTTATCAATATGCAAAGCAGCACACAAACAAGACTTCACTGACCTTCAGACTTGTTTGAACCATCAAAGGAATGCCAGGGATACACAGGAAATGCATCTTTACACGCATGGAGATGTTAGCGCCGCTGTAATGGAATCACATCACCTGAGTATCCTCCATATTTGATTCGAAACTTGGAAACACTGAGACCACAAACTTATCTCTGCACGTATCCTGAAGATGCACTTACCAATTCTTTGTCCAGCTGCTGTGTCCAAATATATTTCAAGAGTAACTGTTAAAACAGTCAGATGTCCTCTCCCTTATTCATCCCCTTTATCTTAATCCAACTTATCCATTTACCATAAACTGTATGTACTGGTCTAATGTCTCATTTCATTGCTCATATCCTCAGCATCTATTATTGCATGTATTTCTAATCTATATTCCATATTGTTAATAACCGATGAATATTATAGTTAGTGGTGGAATGTTTGCTACACTTGAGTATTTCCATTTTATGCTACTCTATACTTACTACATTTTGGAAGCCAATATTGTACCTTTTACTCCACTACATTTATTTGCACAGTTTTAGTTACGTGCTACTCTGCAGTCAGATTATTAGTAAAATCAAAAAAAAAATCAACCAGTAAATGATTATGTATTTTTATGGATTATGCTGGTATGTGGCAGTACATAAAGTAAATAATATAAGCCCCACCTTTACCAGCTGCAATATTAGTGGTACTTACATATTAATGAACCACTAAATAATGAGTTCTTTTACTTTTGGTACTTTAAGTATGTTTCAAACTTTTGTTCTTTTACTGAAGTGCCATTTTGAATGCAGGACTTTTACCTGTAGCACAGTTTTACACT